AGATGGTTCGTGATGTGTTAGCCATTCCCATTTCAAGTGTTGCATCAGAATGTGCATTCAGCACAGGAGGTCGTGTTCTTGATCCCTTTAGGAGTTCATTAACTCCTAAACTTGTGCAATCTCTTATTTGTGTTCAAGATTGGCTTAGAAGTGAGCCTTTTCCAATCAATATTGAGGAAGATTTAGAGTATCTTGAGCAACTTGAACTTGGTAAGAATTTGGTATTCGTATTAATTATCTTGAAAATAATTTTCTTATGTTTCTTAACAACTAACAAATTCTTTCATATTTTTTTAGATTTTGCTTGTAGTGGGACTGAATCTAGTATTATTGATATATAGTTGCAACTTGTAAGTTCAACTATCAACTAGTGATGCGTGGTAACGGGTAAGTAAATAACTTATTTACATAACTTGCTTGATAGTTTTATATATTTTATTATGAAATGGAGATCATTTTTCTAAAGAGTTCTATTTTCTCGCAGTCACAGGCACATCAATGTTTTGTTATTTTCTTGGTTGCTATCTGTTGGACCTTGGGAGATATTGCACTGGAGGTTGCAAATCTTTTGGTTGCTGCAAATTGTAATGCTGCCTACTGGCAGCTGGACTTTAGTTTGTAACTAACTATATTTTAGGGCTGGCTGTGGGCACAAATTTATTGAATTTTCTAGTCCTGTTGTCTTGACTCTTGATAGTCTTTTTATTCTTATTCTCGCTTAGTTTGTTAATGTTGCTACCTGCTGGAATGCTTGGACAAGAATTATCAGTTTTGTTTGGATATTTTAGTCAATGATATGGTAGTTGCAAGTTAAATGTTTGTTGAAATTTGTCTGCTCCTTGGCAACAAATGCTTGCAGTTGCAGCAACACTGGTCTGCTTTCAATTTCTGCTTTTAACCGACAGACTTGTGAGTTGGAAAGTAAAAGGCTTGTGAGTTGTGACTTGTGAGTTGGAAAGTAAAAGGCTTGTAAAGAGATGAGAATATGCACTTGTGTGAGGCTTCTGCTATAATCCTGAGTTTAATTTCATTGAAAATATGTTTTAGATGTTATTTTCATACCATGCTTTAGACATATGATCATTTATAGGTTGAATGACACTTTGATCGCTAGAGATGTCTTAAAAACTAATACGCACATTTTTGTTATAACTTTAGTGACCTGAGTATGAGTATAAGCTGAAAGAGATCAATTCTACTTAACTGCACATTTTTTCCACTTCACATAGTAGATAGGAATTCAACTGGGAGAAGAAAATCATAGCAGTTATTTTCTCATTGCAAAATGGTACTTATTTGTTGAGTTAAGCAAGAATTAAGGGTGTATTTCGGTCGGCACACAGGAAAAGTATAAAAAGACAATTTATAAGGAGAGATGTTTTTACTGTGGTTGTTTCCGGTGGTTCACTTATCAAGTCTCTCAGGTAATTATTGATTTATTCTCTTTGTTTCTACTAGGAACTAGGAAGTATCATTTTGGGTTGCTAAAGTTTGTTGCAGGAAATTGGTGGAGCCACCATACCATATATTGATTCAATAGACTGGTCGTAATGGCACGTTTTCTAGGTGGATGAGAGAGTGGTTAAACCGAAAACCAAACCGAAATAAACCGAACCGAAATTATAATAACCGAACCAAACCGAATTTATTTCAGTTTGGTTTGGTTTCACATTTGGCCAAACCGAAAACCGAAAAAACCGAACCGAAATTTACAAACCGAACCGAACCGACCGAACGCCCAGCCCTAGTTAGGGCCCATAATGCAGAAAAAAATTACACGTAGTATTATTTGATTTACGAATTTAGTTACGTGTGAAAGTTACAATTTACCATACTTATAAGGTTAAAAAAATGAATAGTAAGTGATGAAGATGAAAATTATTATACAATGATTAACAATTTTTAAAACATTCCTCTTGCTTGATAAGCTTATTTAGGCATTGCTAATATATCATCTTTATTACTATAAGTTTTATTATAATTATATAACATTATAATAGATAAATCCTAAATATGTTACTAAAACAATATTATATATGGCAAATTATGTAAATATCATTCCATAAATTTTACTCAATCATTTTTTAGCTCAATTGATAATATTATCCAAAATGGTCATTCGGCTAACCCCCACCCCCCCACCCCCCCAAAAAAATATATTAGTCTAAATAATTTATGTATTTAATTAAAGTCCAAATTAATTAATTTGGGCTACAATAGATGAACCCAGTTTGCTGAGCTCAATGTCATCTCATCCTAGAGGCCCATTTTGGTACCACATGGCAAATGACGTGGCATGCCAAGTCAAATAAAGAAGGCAATATGATCATGCCATGTGTCAAAATAAGAAGCCCTGTCACACCCTGAGCCTACACCCTGGGCCGGACTGACACTCGAGAACCATTACTGGCCCCAAGCGAACCCTTGGCCTGACTTACTTACTCAACGAAAGACTTTAAGTATTAAGAAACGAACTCAAATGCAAGATAATTCAACTGTCTCAAACTAAACTCATAATGTTTTAGAAATAAACATTTAACTTAGCCAAAGTGGCAACTCAAATCTGAACATAAGCCAATAACAAAGTAAAGACAAATGAACTAACTAACTGTCTATATCTATGAAGCTTCTAATAACTGAGATGGATGTTGGGACAAGACCCACGACATCATAATGAACTAAATACTGATAAGCAATAAAAAGGGATCCTCCGAAAGCAAGAAGGCTCACCCCATAAACTCTGGAGCTCAACTAGAATCAACGATGCGCTAGATGCTGATCCTAGTTACCTATGTCTGCATCATTAAAAGATACAGGCCAAATGGCATCAGTACATTGAATGTACAGTATGCGAGGGGAAATCTAAAACAAGACATAAGCTTGAAAGGAACTGAAAGAAACAATTACCTTGGCTTTACTCAACTCATGAACAACTTAACTCAATATAAAACAATAAAACACATGCAATTTATAGAAAACCTTTAAAACAGTAAAAAACAACTTAGTTCGTTAAAGAAAATGCAATAACAAACTCAACTTTACTCATATAATAAAGTAATATAGTTTATGTGGGAGATTCTCTAACCGACAACCACCACTATGAGCCTAAGTGGTGATACAACGTCTTGCCCACGCTGTCAGAATTGTCCTATACTTTGCCGTCATATAGAACGCCTTAACTAAGTGGATCCACTAGTCTATGCTAAAAAACACTTAAGGAGTCATCTAAAAAGTATGATCCTTTACTACCCATGATGACTACATGGTTTATGGAGACTTGAGTTAATATGAACTCGCGTCCCCATATCGGTGCCCAATACTACTACCCAAAAATATACTTAGCTCATATAGTTTTAAAACAAAACTTTTTTCTTTGGTTTGAGATAATTACTCAAAACTTAGCTTAAAAGCTCTCTTGGAAATCGGTGTTCCCTTTCTTGCTCAAATGTGAAAACATTTCTAACTTTTTGGAATACTTAGTTCCCGTATAATCTTTGAAGAAAAGAACTTTACTCTTAAATCTTTAGTCAACTTGAAACTTAAGTCTTAAGACAAAGTTAAAACGTTTGCGAAAAACTTTTGAAAACTTTATGAACTTCTCTTGACTTGTTTCTTAACTTCTAGACTTGACTCTTAACTTTCCTTGAATTGAATTATGGATTCAAGGTTCATGATTTAATTTTTATGATGATTTCATGATGTTTAAACGTACCTTAGAGTATATAAATCGATTGGAAATTATAGATACGCTACTAAGGAACTAGTACGGAAAGAAGGGGGAAAAATAGGGTGAACTGGCGTCAGACGTCTTTGGTGCTCTGAGAGGCGTAGGGTGCCAGAGCCCAAAGTTCAGAGACCCCTGCTTGGGCCTCTGAGAGGGGCGATGCCCCAGAGACAAAAGATCAGAGAATTTTTCTTGGGGCTATGAGAGGTGCGACGCCCCAAGCCCCTGCCCAGGTGCCTCCGACTTTTCTTCTTCATTTTTCAAACCCCCTATTTTCACTTGGTTCTTTCACCAACACTTAGAAACAACTAATTCATCAATATATGCAAGATTTAACTTGAATTCACACCTAAATACATGAATCAATCTCAAGAAACTTCAACAACAAGAACCCATAAGATTTCAATCGAATTATCATAAAAAACTCATAGGATTTACTTTCAAAACTATATAACTTCGCTGAATTGAATCATGATTGGCACGTGGGTGAACTAACCCAACGGTATGTGATCTCACATACCTTGTAGGATTGAATCCTTGGCGAAATCCACAACCAAACTCGAACGTTCTTGACGATTCTTGATTTCTCCTCTCCTTTTTCCTTTTTTCTCTTTTCTCCAAGCCCTAACGTGAACTTCAACTTTTCTAAACTGACTAAAATCTGATTTTACTCCAATTAAACTCCTTAAAACAAATTAAAATAATTGGGTAAGGAAAAGACTAAAATACCCTTCCAAAATCCGGATTAGACTTTCCTTATTTGAACATCCCAACTTCAAATGGGCATCTCTCACTCATACGAACTCGGAATCGCACAAACTTAGTGGCGTTGGAAAGATTATTCCAAGATATTTCCTACGGTATCTGGTAATACACCTAAATCATCCCGAGCTAGGATTTATGGTCGTTTGAAGTTGACCAAAAACTCAACTTAACATACTTAACAAATTTTCCAGATTTTTACTCTTCCCAAAAATAGCTATTTCCAATTCTTAACTTCTTCCTAGTTATTTCAATTTGCGAGATGTTACAAGCCCGCCTCGTAAAGCCCATATGTCATGTCAGTTAAATATGATTGGTCGAACGGAAGCATGTTCCTATCGCAAAACCTCTATTCTAAAACTATAAATAGGGGTCCTCATAATTTAGAAAAAGGGACTAGAAATTCTAAGCAAGAAGTTAGAAAAAGCTCATGGATCAAACGCCATAGATTTCTCTATAACTACAAGTTTAAGAATTCATGAATTTAAGTTCAAGAATGATCAAGATCAAGACCGCCAAATTCAAGAACAAGCTCGAAACCCTTGAATTCAAATAAAAGTTAAGATCAAGATAAAGTTGAAGTTCATTGAAGATTCGAGAACAAGCTCCAAAGCCGTTGAATCCAAGATCAAGTTCAAGACAAATTCAAGATCAAGCTCAAGAGCCCTTGAATTTATATCTGAAAAGACGAATTAGAGGAATCGTAGAGATTGTAACACTCGCACTTTGAAATCAATAAATATGATTAATACAATATTTTCCCATTCTTGATTATTGTTTTCTCAACGCGAATTTTATTGTCTACAAATTTTGGCATGCCCAATGAGACCATCTGCCCTTCATCTCTTCTCTCACAAATCATTCACAAATCAAATCTGCAAATCTAATGTCACAAAATCTCAAAGGTGAAAGAATGTGTACTTCAAGCTTGGTCTTTGAGTTTCAACAAGTCTACACTCATGGGACATTTGTAGACATTAAAATTTTGTGGGACTCTACAAGACGTGTTTAATTCGAGTTAGGACTCCATAAGGTGTGTTCAATTCCAAATAAAATTCTTGGAGCTACTCAACCTTAAACCTAGTTCATGCCTATATAAAGGGTATTCCCTTGAAAAAATGTCTCGAATATTCTGCAAATTCATGAAATATTAATAAAGAGATGAAAACCAAATTATCTTAATTCGAGAAATTGGCCACTAACGGCCCCTGAATCATGGATAGATCTTAAGAGTGAGAAGAATCAAGGGAGGGACAGATTTGTACCGGCAATGTTTATCAATGAAACTATGTTTATTGCAATTTATTTTCTATCACTTTAAAGTTTGTTGTAAACAACAACCTTTCTTTCTTCTTCTGCTTCTGCAACTTCTTTGTCCTGCTCCTTCTTATGCGTCTTTCTTTTTTTCATTATCGTCAATTCATTATTGATTTTCCTTTTTCTATAAAATCATTTTTCAATAAAAACTTGATGTACTGTAAACATGAATTGTTTCGAGCGAATTATTTATCAAAAGACTTGAAACATTGAGATGATTTCATATATAAAATTTGGAATTGCTTAGATGTAATTTTGAGTTGATCGGGATTGAATAATTAATATATACTTCATGTATAATTAAACTATATATATTCAACTTTTTGAGTGAATCAAAATGTGTAGTCAGTGTATATCTCAGCTATATATAAATAATATTGTATAGTATACTATAGTCAATATATACTTTTCATGATTTTTGATTATTTTTCTATAAAAAAAGCATAATTATGTTTATCGTAAACTAATTACTTTATATTTAAAAGCATCATTAATATGTATTAAATAAAAAAATTAACTATGGTTAGATTTTGCCCTCTCCGTTCTCTTTTACTTGTCACAATTTAACTTGACATACCTATAAAGAAAATAATTATTGATATAAGTACTTTATCAAATTATCCTCTATTAAATGATGTCTTGGAAAATGATTTGAAAAATAATATTTAATGTTGAGAGTAAAATATGAAAAAAATTATTGTCTTTTTTTATATGTCAAAAATAATAAACAGTTTCAAGAATAAGTGACAAGTAAAAGTGCACGGAGTCCATACATACTATAGTTTCTACTTCTTTTTTCCTTCAATAGACGTAATTCTCCTACCAGATCCAACCAGAGAGCAGAGAGAGAGAGGTGGTAAACTTGTCGAGTCTCTTCCCCTATTTCATCCACTTCTACCTGACAAATGCAGTATATTTTCCACTAATTACAAGAAAATACTTGTCTCTCACATCAAATGGCTGTTCCGATTGAAGAAGCCATAGCTGCACTATCCACATTTTCTCTAGAGGTAACAATGTCTATTAACACTATTTTGAAAATTCAATAGTTTTCAGTAAGTATGTTTTCCTAATTGGTGAATTTCTTCCTTTGTCGTTATAATTTCAGGATGATCAACCAGAAGTACAAGGCCCAGGGTTTTGGGTTTCAGCTGAAGGAGGTGCAACTATTAGTCCAATCGGTAACACATCGTTTTTACATTTCTTTTAGGTTTTCAGTTCTAATTCAGTATTTTTTTCCCTCCCATTTGTTATTGTAGTTAGTAATTCAGTAATTTGCTTGATCTTCCTTTCTGGTTGCAAGCATAAATGAATTTGCCTTTAGTATTTATTTTTGATAAATAAGATTCCATTCAATATTGTTTGTTAGTCTTATTATTATTTCTGGAATTTCAAGCGATTCCTCGTGAATGTTCCTTGTAGGTCTTCCTTTCTGAAAGTATAGCCCACCCATGAAATCAAACTGCCTCATTTTACTACTTTTTTTTAACGTTTCAAAATGAATTTGGCAGAGTACAGTGATGTGGCTGCATATAGGTTGTCTTTATCAGAAGACACTAAAGCTATTAACCAGCTGGTATGTGTTAAGAAATTGTATCAGTAATCTGCTGCTGAAATTGCATTCCTTTTCCTTGATGTAATGCTGAAATTGTTTGCAGAACACACTTATACAAGAGGGGAAGGAAATGGGTTCCGTGCTCTACACATATAGAAGTTGTGTTAAAGCGCTTCCTCAGGTTAGTAAAGAATTTCAGCTTTTAACTGAATTTTTTTTGATTTCTTAATGAGATAAGGTTTTACATTATCAGTATCTTCTACTTTGCTTCTATGCTTTTTAATTTTGTTTGTGTTGGTGAAAATGATTATAATATGTGGTGGTGGTTTGTAGTTTATTTCACAATATTTTTGTATATCTTTATATTGGTGGAAGCTTTGTGAGAGCAGAAACGATGAACCACCTCAATTCAAGCTTTAAAGTTTAGCTAGAACAAAGAGCATAACCTTGTTAATTGACTAGTATAATTTCCTCACAACTGCGCCCAAGGCATATGACCATGTCAGTTGGTCTTGTTTGCTAGATGTCTTAGGCTAACAAATTTTTGGTGATAAGTGGACAGAGTGGGTCAGATTCTGCATTTCCCCTGTCAGATTTTCTATATTGATAGATGGTGATCCTTAAGGTTTCTTCAAGTCTGGAAGGGGTTTAAGGCAGGGTGATCCTTTATCCTCTATCTCTTTGTCTTTGTGATGGAAATCCAAGCTTAACATTCAAAAAGGCAGAGAGTTTGGGATGGTTTAAGGGCCTATGCATTGGCAAGAATGGAGAGGAAGAAATGGTACTTACACTTTCTATATGCAAATGATATTTTACTTTTTTGTGAGGCAGAAAAAGACCAGCTATTGCATTTAAGAGGAGTTTTGTTAAGATTTCAAGCAATTTCTGGGCTGAAAATCTGTCTAAAAGCAGTATATTTAGCAATAATGCAGAATGTTGCATTGAGGAATTAGCTGATATTTTGGGGTATGAAATGAACAAGTTTCCTACAGTAATTTTTCATTAGGGATGATGAAGAAAGATAAAATTATTTGGCCATGAGTAACTGATAGAAGTACAAATAAGTTTGTTTCTGAATATTTTTTAGATGTACAGATAAGTTAACCCCTTGGAAGAAATGATATCTATCTTTTGGAGAAGACTTGTCCTAATTAGTAGTGTGCTTGATGGAATGCTAACATATACAATGTCTCTGTTTTCTATGTCTACAACATTATATAAGAAGAATTCTATTATACATTAGTTTTGATGGGATGGTAATGCTGATAAAAGGAAGATCCATTTAGTAAGGTGGCAAGTGGTAACAAATGATAAGAAAGGTCACAGTAAAGTGGCTTTCAGCCTCTTCCCTTACATCCTTACAGTCAAGTGGCCTTCAGCTTGGGAGTGAGGAATTTGAAATTTCATATCAAAAACTTGCTATTTAAATGGTCGTGGAGATACATTAGGGGTGGTAAAGAAATTTGAAAAGGCTTATAGATGATATTTATAGAAAGATGGATGGTTGGAGGCAAAGTTCCACATAGATGAGCAGGAAAGGGGGAGTTTGAGAAGAAGATTTCCAAGACCTATTTAGATGCTTTGTGTTCAAGGAGGCTATGTAGCTGATTATCACTCAACCTCAGAATGACAATTAGAATTCTAGAGAAATTTAAATGACTGGGAGCTGGAGGTTTTTTGTCTAACTTATCAACTGGAGTCAATCTCAATTATTCAGAATAAGGTGAATGGTTTGTTCTGGGTGAATAACAAGGATCGAATGTTGTATGTCAAAGAATGCTACAATCTGCTGCTAAAGCTTGCAGGTCAGGGGGTTTCTACTTGACACTATCTGGAAAACTAAAGCTATTGTTAAGGTAGCTTGTTGGGGATGGATTGTCACTTGGGATGCTTGTCTAACTCAGAATAATTTACAGAACAAGGTTTTGTTTTTAGTAGTAAATGCTAAATGCCTGAAGAGGATCAGGAATCAGTGGAACATTTTTAATTGTTGTTGAGAATATAATTAAATAATAAAAGTGTACTCTCTCTAACAGCTTAAGCTTTTAGATGAGATAGTCACACACTTCAACATGGTATCAAAGTAGGCAGAGACCTTAGTGTTCTGTGGGGCAGAGAAAGAGCAACTGAAGTATCTAAGGGTCATTTTTGTTTTGTTTGAAGCTGTTTCTGGATTGCACATAAACTGGGGAAAAAGTTTTATCTACCCAGTGAATGAAGTTCCAGACATCAACAGTCTAGCTGATATTCTAGGAGGTAAAGTGGGAGAACTGCCTACCACCTACCTAGGGATGCCTCTCGGGGCAATGAGTAAGTCAAAGAACATATGGAATGCAGTGGTGGAAAAGTGTGGAAAAAAGTTGGTAAACTGGAGATGTCAATACCTATCTTTGGGTGGAAGATTGACCCTAATTAATAGTGTACTTGATGCGATGCCAACTTATATGATGTCTTTATTTCCTTTGCCAGGGAATGTCTTAGAGAAGCTAGACTCCATCCGGAGGAATTTTTTATGGCAAGGAAATGGAGAGGGGGAAAAGAAGTATCACTTGGTGAAATGGGAAGTCGTGACCAACAGTAAAAAGGAAGGGGGAATGGGCATAAAGAACCTCAAAGTACAGAATCAAAGTCTCTTATTGAAGTGGCTATGGAGGTTTGCCTCAGGGGAACAAGGTTTGTGGAAAGATGCTATAGTTTCCAGATACACAATGGAAGGCTTATGGATCACTAAGCAAGTTAGAAGCCCTTATGGGGTAGGTCTATGGAGAACAATCAGGAATCAGTGGCCTAAATTGTGGGGAAACTCAAGAATTGTAATAGGAAATGGAAGGAGGACGTCATTCTGGAATGATGTGTGGGTTGGTCAATATCCCTTCAAACAGTTGTACCCGGTGATTTATAATTTGAACCAACAGAAGGAGGCAACAGTAGCAGATGTTAGGGACAACCAAGGATGGTACCTCTCTTTTAGGAGAATGTTGAATGACTGGGAGATTGACAGTCTAACAGATTTCTACAATACTCTGGAGCAGGCCATCAACTTTCAACCTAATGAAGACAATCTACACTGGTTGAAGGCCAAAAATGGGAAATTCACAGTAAAATCAGCTTACAGACACCTTGATAGGCCAGCTGCAATGCTCTTACCATGGCCTTGGAAGATGATATGGAAATTAAAGTACCTCACAAGGTGGCTTGTTTCACCTGGTTAGTAGCCAGACAAGCAGTACTAACTCAGGACAATCTAATGAAAAGGGGAAGACAATTATGTTCCAGATGTTTTTTTTGTGAAAGAGAAATAGAGACAACAAACCATCTCTTCATCCATTGTAGAGTGACAGAGAAACTGTGGCAGGTGTTTTTTAACTTAAGGGGTATCAGTTGGTCCATGCCAAGGCATACCTCCGAAGCTCTAATACGCTGGAATAGTGAAGGAAATTTGTCCGACCACAAAGAGAGATGGAAGATTGTCCCTGTTTGCATCTGGTGGACAATATGGAGGGAGAGGAACCAAAGATGTTTTGAAAACAAGAGCATCCCTTTCCAAAGTCTGAAGTTGAATTGTCTTATAACCTTTTTTTTTTGGTGTAACTATGTACTCCCCAAAAAGGTGGACGATATTACTCAGTTTCTAGATAGTTTAGGAGGGATATAGGTGGTAGATTTCTTTGGTTTTGTTTACTGTAAATCCCAGATGTAACTACTACTAGAATACACTATTGGTGTATCTTGTCTATAAAATGTTAACTTTCTCAAAAAAAGTAGGCAGAGGTCTTGAGATTGAATCTCATCGTCACCCATATCAAAAAGATTTTCACGTGCTTGACTCATGAAAAAATATCAGGTCCGCACGTGACTCGTGAGGGGGCATGCTGAGAATGTAATTAAATAATATAAGTGTGCTCTCTCTAACAACTTAAACTTTTAGATGAGATGGTCACACACTTCAACAATTGCAATGTAGAGTATCTTGAGAATGTTGGGAACTGCTTCTTAATGTGATTGGTGTTTCATGGGTAATGCCTCTGAAGATCAGGAGTTTACTGGAATGCTGTCAATGTGAAAGGATGCCTAAAAACTTGAAGCAGATTTGGAACAACTCTAATATGCATTTTCTGGACTTTATGTCTGGAAAGGAACAAGGCTTGCTTTGAAGAAAAAGTATGCACATTTCTAAAATTTAGAATACTTGTTTGCATTATTTATATTCTTGGCGTGATAGTAATATGCTAGATAGTCTTGATCATTACATGGACTTCTTAAGTTTTTTAGAATGGGTCACTTGATACTTTTATGGTTGTAGTTTTCGTGTTTCTTGTATTTCTTATATCATCTTGGTAGTCTATTAATATAACTTTACCTTTACAAAAAAGCTTCACCGAGGTCTCTAAACTATATCAAATGATGAAGGACTGCAAAATTCTCTACTAATTAACACATGTAGCATAAAGCTCATAAAAGTAGCTTCAGTTTAAATTAAAGTGCTCCCCCATTGTGCTACCTCGGGTCCACATATAAGGAGATCTAGACAGAAATCCCTTGGCTTGTAGACTTCAGTAAACAATGCAAGCCATTTAATAAACAATCCAATTGTAGCTGCTTTCTTCTTTGATGACTTCAGACCTTAACTAGAAAGGTAACAAATATACACTTCCTTTCAAATTCATAAAATTCCATATACCGTTTCTTGAATGTGTTGGGGTTTATTAAATTGGTTCAAGTCTACATGTATATGTAACCACTTCTTCAATGTGATGACAAGCTAGCTATTGAAAGTCGTTGTGTTGTCACTTAAAGCTATGCGAAAGGAGGGATTATCACTTCATGGGTGAAGACAGCGCTTTATAGAGGTGTTTGCTTCTAACAGTACCCATTAAGAAAAGTGTGTGCTTCAAACATGATGTGCATAGTTATCCCAACAAGGATCAATCAGTTCCTTGAATCTAAACTTTAAAGAGTTAGATTAATGTCAAAATTATTGTATATTGGATGCTAAAATTTGTCATTCACTGCACATCGTAGCATCCATTTCACATTACGTCTTTTGCTTTAAGCCTCATGAACCTTCTCGTTTTTTTTTCTCTTTTATAACTATTGAGCTATATTATTGTCGCGATATTTAGTATTTCATCTACTCCCGGGCTTTGGTTCAGTAGTAAGGAGCACATCTCTTGATGTGTCAAACTGTCAAAGAGGTGCACCTCAAGAGTTTGAGTTCTGCTATGAGGAAAACACCAGGTTTTTAAGTGGAGAAGGGGCGAAGCTCATTATGCATCAAATTTCGAACCGTGTGCTAGTTGGTCCTTGGGGATTATCGGTTATCAAAAAAATGTATTTTATCTAGTTTGCATTTTCTTTGTACTTTGTTTGAATGTTTATTTATTTATTTATTTTTATTTTTTTTGATAACCGAGAAATCCGTCTGTGACCCGCCCTTTGGACCAATCACAGCCTTCTAAACTCGGTGGATAATGGGCCCGCCCCTCTACCCTTCTCCACTTAAATACCGGGCTTCGCTTTGCATGGTGTGGGGCTTGAACCTGTGACCTAAGCCACAAATCCTCCACCTTTTGCCACTTGAGCTAGGCCTTGGGGGCATTTTGTTTGAATGTTTATTGTGTAGTTAAATGGGTATATGAAGCCCCAGCAAGAGAACTAGTGCTGAAAGCTAATCTTTTTGAGAGATAAAGTTTCTTGTTCAATTATTTAGACATATTAATCGCAGATTGAAGTTGTTAATCTTTCTTCCTTGTACATATTTATTTGATGTTTGCACCATGTTTTTGCCACTGTCCTACTTTTTCTTTTAAAAACTTGTAATAGTTAAAGACATAGTATTGCAGCTTCCAGATTCTATGAAGCAAAGTCAGGCTGACCTGTATCTCGAAACTTACCAAGTTTTGGATTTGGAAATGAGCCGTCTGCGTGAAATTCAGAGATGGCAAGCATCCGCGGCATCTAAGGTTTGAACTGACTATTCTGTTTATCTATAATCTATACTAATGAATTTCTTCTCATTCAAGCTTTTCTGCTCGATCTGTCTCAATGCAGCTGGCAGCTGACATGCAACGTTTTTCCAGACCTGAGCGTCGTATTAATGGTCCCACAGTAACTCATCTTTGGTCTGTACACGTGTTTTATCTTTTCATTAGTCTGTTCTCTTGTGCTTCTAAAATAGATTAGTCTTTTCTCTTTATTCTGTATTGTGATGATTTATTATTGGGTAAAGATTACATGTTACTATTTTGTATTCACTTCCTTGATTGTTATTGCTTCTTTTAGAGTGTGTATAATCTTGGAAAATGTTGACAAGAGGGAAAGCGGCCCTCCACCTCCAATCATGAGGTTGGGGGTTTGAGTCACCAATATAGCAAAGTGGGAAAAAAACCACTATCCTGGGTATGGCTGTTTTTTGCGTGGGGGTTAAGTTTAACCAAATCTGAAAAAAAGATCTTCGGAAACATGTCAATTTTCCGTTAGAGTCTCTTCTTTAGCACAATTGGAAACTGCTATTTACATAGCAGTTTATTTTCAAAAAAATTGATAGTTGTCAAAGACAAATTTGGATAAGTCGAGATTTACGGAATGTAGTACTTGGTCCGGCTGCTGAAAATTTGATCTGATGAACATAGCTTATTACTTGAGACTTAAAATTAGGCGAGGCAGTCAAATTCCTCTCTACATAGATTTGACCTAGAAAGCCAGTATGTGTTTGCTCTTTTGGAGAGGATGTTCGTGCAGTATTGTTTGATTAATCTTTGTGATGCAAGCAGAGACCAGTTATTTGCACAGATCAAAATCATTTGATGAATTCTTCTTGCAAATATGCCACACCACGTCACCACCTGATTTCTGATTATTACATGATTATTTTCCCAAAAAAGAAGAAGAAAAAGCATTCAGTTGAGAACTGCTGAAGTTTTATTGTGAAAATGAACTTGCACCTTTACTAGTTCATTTAGTTTATCTTTTCTGTTTTATTGAGCTTATGCTTGGTGTATTTTCTTCGTTTTCCATAATGCACTTGAATCACTAACTTCTCACTGATCATTAGGGCATAAATTTCAAATGAATTTATTGCAGGTCCATGCTGAAATTACTTGATGTTCTGATCCAGCTTGATCATCTTAAAAATGCAAAAGCTAGTATACCTAATGACTTCTCTTGGTACAAAAGGTGTGTGTCATAGTTGTTTGTATTTCATGAGTGCTCAACTTTTCCATCCCTGCCATTTAGGACAATTAGTTGCACAAAGGCTTAACATGTTATAAATTGATTACTTAAAAGTAGTAATACTTTTATCAGTTTTGGTAGTGTTTGTCAATCAAAAAACAAGGAAAGTATTAAGTTACCAGTTTTTTTTTTAAAAACCCCAAAAAACAAGGGAAATATTTGAACAAAGTGATCATTCTAAAAGAAAATCAATGTAACTGATGGTAAAAGTTCTTTCATTTTCACGACAACCTCATGCTTGGTGTTAATTCATGAGAATGTCTTCCATAACTTGATTGCAATCAAGAATATCGCATTTTGCATATTTTATTGAAACTCTCTTAGTAGCATATTTCTGGGGTAATATCTTTTAAGGTGTTGTATATTCTTGTTCAGTGTATACTGAGTGTGGTCACTCTTTGCTCCAAATTTTTGTTCTGATTTTTCAATTTGAAAGAGTTCTTGAAAACATAGGATCTGTTGTGCCCCCTAAAAAATTGTGTAACCACCAAAAATTAGAGGTAACCCCAACACCCCCTCCCCAGAGCATCATAGGATGTGGAAAAGGCAGGATCCTGGTTTTGAACTTTGAACTGCCAGTCTGCCAGGGTGAAGGGGCCAAATCTTGGTGGTCCCCTCACGGTGTAAAGGAGAGAACAATGGCCAAGAAGAAATGGTTAAAGCCAAAGGTCCCACAAAATCTTATTTAATTGTTTGTTTGTTCTGGGTGCTTGCATCAGAGAAACAATTTAGTATCATGAAGTGTCGATCATCAAATTTTATGTTTATAATGAAGTAGCCTAAATTTGGAATGAAATGAGCCTGAATAGAGCGCAATAAATGCAGAGGATTCGTATAGTCCACTAGACTAGTTAGGGATTAAGCTTAGCTGATCGATTGAATGAAGCGGCTTAAAGAAATCTGTTACATGGTTTTCTCCTTTCCCCTCTATTTTGTACTTTTCCCAACACCAGGAAGTTCAATGTAACCATCCATTTAGTAGAACTTCTTCCTATTTGAAAGCGTTTCATTTGTTTGTCATATCCAATATGCCAGGACATTCACACAAGTTAGTGTGCAGTGGCAAGATACAGATTCAATGAGGGAGGAGTTGGATGATTTACAGGTATATATCTACTTCTTTTGTATGTTTAGGTTTTTGAATCATGTTAACTTGCACGTATTTGTATGTGCTGAACATGAATTGTTACATACTTGCAGATCTTCTTGAGCACGAGGTGGGCTATTTTGTTAAACTTGCATGTTGAGATGTTCCGTGTGAACAAGTATCCTTCAAATGAACATTCTCTACCCAGAGGAATGGTTAATCAATGTTGCTGCACTGAGTGAATTTTGTTGCATATGAATGTATGTATTTATGACTGGATGCTCATGACCCCTAAGATCTGTCATGATAAATCTCATGTTATTGGTGTCTAATCCCAAAGAATAAAGCCCAAATGAAGGAAAAATTCTAAACCTATCAGAGAATGGTGGGCCTTTTTAAATTTAGATCCTTGCACCAACTGATTAACCATTCTTATATTGGATGCTAGACCTGAACCGCTATTTGATGAAATTAATTCCCTGCACAACATCAGTGCCTCTCCAGCATTTCTCTCAGCTAAGACTAAATACATGACAACTCGATGCAGATTATGAGGCCAACCTTGAAATTGTGTTGCAAACACTACTCAGAAGTGTTATTCTAGAACCAGAGAGACCACTGGTTAGTCAACCTAACTCCGACTTCTCCTCTCACTCTAATACTTCTCTCTCCCATGGAACCAAGTAGGTTCGAACTCTTGCACCCAAGGGTGTTGCCTAGTGGTCAATGAAGTGGTTCAAAACTCAGTGGAGACAAAAAACACTAGGTGATTCTTCCCATCTGTCCTAGCCTTGGTGGACAGAGTTACCTGGTACTTGTTGCCGGTGGGAGGTGGCAGGTATCCCATGGAATTAGTCGAGGTGCGAGAAAGCTGGCCCGGACACCACGGTCATCAAAAAAAAAAAGTAGGTTCGAACTCTCACACAATCAAAACCCATGTGATAATGACTTTGAGGTGGACCAAAATTGTAACGGTAAAGGATTGTAAGTTTTTTGGTGTCAGCATGTCACTGTTTGAGCATGAATTTCTGAACATTATCCAGCGTATGGAGCAAAGGCGGCAGCTGCAACTACGACAAAAAAATCAGCATGCAAACAAACAAAGAAAAAGAGATCAAATAAGGATATGGAGTTGGAGAAATTAAAATTCTTGGTCAATTATGATGGGGTGAAACTCTGAAAGATGGGGTGATAGCACTGAAAGGGTAGGTTTTTCAAATCTCATTCATAATGAAGCTACAGATGCTCAGTTGGAATGTGCAGGGTTAAATGAAAGCAATAAAAGGAAACTCTGAAATCTTTAATCAGCTAGTTGAAAACTGATATACTATGCCTTCAAGAAACCAAATGAGGAATGGACATCTAGCTTATCGCAAGTGGGAGATATTGTATGCCTTCAAGATACCAAAACTGAGGAATGGACATCTAGCTTTTCACAACAGGTGTTTGGAACTAGATGGATTGGCTGGGCTGAATTACAATTTAGTGGCAGTAGTGGTGGGGAGATAATATTATGGGACAAGAGAAGTTGGAGCTGTATAGGAGTGCAACACGGATCCTACACAATTTGTTATATGCTGGAAAGTGTCCAAGAGTATTTTAGGTGGTGTTTCACAGGAGTTTATGGCCTTCACACAAATCCTCAAAGAGAAAAACTTTGGGATGAGCTTGCCGTAATCAGAGGACTATGGAATGATCAGTGGGTGATAGGGGGTGATTATAATGTTTGCAGATATGAGAGTGCGTGTTTATTGTTAAATTAGGTCTTGGCCTTAACTCACACCCCAAAAGCCAGCTCGGGTGTGCTTCCCCAATCGACATGACTCACAATCTAACTTAGACAATTTGGACAAGCTAGGTACCATCTTTTGAAGTTTGGATAAACTAGGGTGTCCCAATTGTATGTGGATTAAGCCTGGAGAGTCTGAGATTGAACAAACTATAGTGGATTTGTGAGAATTGAGATAATAAAGTCCATCTGACTCATGCCCTTCGCCAATCATCCTTCCCGTACTGAGGTCCTGTATGACAAAGAAGTCACTAAAAAATGAGACGAAACAATTTAAAGCCTTAGCCGAACGACTTATTGACAAGAGGCCGAAGGGACAATCATGGACAAAAAGAACATTATTTAGAGTCAAGGAAGGTAAGGGATTGGCTTGACCGACTCCGGCTGCCATGGTCTGAGAACCATTAGCTAATGTAACAGTGGGAAGTGGGAACGGACTGAGAGTAAGTAATATTAGACAATAAAGATTTGTTACCAGAAATGTGGTCAGAAGCACTTGTGTCCATAACCCAAGGGCCAAGTGTGGTGGACTGTGTGATACAAGCAACAAGATTAACAGGATTACCAACTTGGGCAACGGAAGCTGTTGATGAAGATGTCTGCTTACTCGCCTGATACTGAAGAAAGTCATTGTATTCTACCTCAGACAAAGAGAACAATTGATTGGTGGAATTACCAGTATATTCAGTTTGAGCAACATGAGCATTCTTTGGTTTACCATGTAGAGAGTAGCACACCTCACGGGTATGATCCAATTCGTTATAATAACCACATCTTGGTCGTTGTTTCCCATGCCGGCCTCCATGCTGATTTCCGGTCTGAAATGCAGTCTGAGATGCTAGGACAGAAGAATCTGCAGGTGGTACTGTATGACTAGACGACATAGGTGGTGCAGCTAGTCGTAACAATCGAGTAAACAGGTCATCCACAACAGGAACAGTAAAGCTAGCCAAAATTTGATCTCGCACTGCATCAAGATCAGATGGAAGTCCAGCAAGTGTAACAACTAGAAACATCTTCTGATGCTGCTCTAATTGCTTTTCAACATTTCGAGTAGCGGACATTAGCTCATTAAATTCCTCCATAACCGCCCGAACCTGTCCAAGATAAGTTGACATATCCAAGTCCTGCTTGTTAAAGTTAGTCAACCGAGAAATTACATTATAAAAGCGGGATATGTCATTTGTGTATAGCCCACGGGCCTTTTCCCAAACTAAGAAGCAAGTTTGGAATGGTCGAAACAATGACATCAACTTTGAATCAATAGATTTCCATAACAGACTACACAATTGAGCGTCAATCTTCTCCCATTCGCCCCTATCTTTTTCAGTAATATCCTTGGCCTGTAACCAAGTGATCTTGAACACCTTGTCCCTTGCACCATAATTGAACAGAGGAGGACCAAGATAAATAGTTTGCATTACCTGTCAAAGGTTCTGTGGTGATTCCATGGTTTGGGTTGGTGGAACTCACAGATTTAGTGCTAACATATCGGATCCGAGAGACATGAAAAACAGATCTATTAGTGTTAAAAAATAATGTAAATTCTGGGGAAAAAACCGGAAGAACAGATCTGGAAAACAGGAGAACTGCTTGCTGTCTTGTTGGAAAAAGTTGCTGGAAAGAAAACTGCCAGAAAAGTGGCTGAAAAACACCACAAACTGCGAGGATTCCGATCGTAATGGTGGTACTGGTATATGCACAATACCCCTGGAGAGTGTCGGAATCGCAGAACAGTAGAGGTTTTGCTGGAATTTTTTTTCCAGATATTTTGTTCTCTTATTATTCTTGTTTTCTCACTAAAGAAAACACTAAAGCACTGGTACCATGTTAAATTAGGTCTTAGAGTTTGAGAGAGGACTCAACTTCTCACAATGATCAACGGCAATGAGAGGCTTCTCAAACAATTGAAGATCTGTGCCTTATAGACATGCCTTTACAAGGTGCAGCCTTTACCTAGTCTAGGGGTGAAAACACACTTTAAGTATCAAGAATAGACAAGTTCCTAATAGCTAATGAATGGAGGTACACCTTCAGGAAGGTTAAACAAATGTTCTCCCAAATGTTCTCAAATCATAAAAACCCGTAATGCTCGAAAGTGGAGATTGAGAATAAACTCCTCATACTTCAAAGTTCAAATTTGAGAACCTGTGGCTACAAGTTGATGGGTTTCTAGACAATGTTAAGGTATTGAAACTGATAGATAGTCTACCCACCTATATTTTGTCCCTATTCCTTATCCCATGCTTGTGTTGAAACTGATAGATACAGTTAAAAGGAATTTTTTGTCCTAACCTTGGTGGACAGAGTTATCTAGTACCTGATGTTGGTGGGAGGTGATAGATATCCCTTGGAATTAGTCAAGGTGCACACAAGCTGGCCCAAACACCACAATTATTAAAAAAAAGTTAAAAAGGAATTTTCGGGAAGAAGGCAATAAAACTCACAATCATTTGGTAAAATGGAAAGCAATAACACAACTAAAGTCTCAAGGTGGCCTGGGAATCAAAGACCTCACGACCAACAATGAAAGTATGCTTATGAAATGGCTAATGGACGTACTCACGGGAGAGGATCAAACCCTTTGGAAGAAGGTGCTGAAGGAAAAACATGGAGGGGTGGAGTCGAGTTTTTACTGAGTTGAGTAGTCTCCAGTCCCTTATACTCTTTGGTGCACCCATAGAGTTCCTTGTTGTATAGAAGATTGGGTGGAGTTTGTAGAGAATCATATCTTTTTTTAGATTCTTTACCTTTTGGTATACCCCTTGTATACAGTCAATTTTTGGCCATGTTTATGTATGAAAATACATTTACTTGATAAAAAAATGCTAAGAGAGTGCACCTGATAGCTATATAAAAGTAGGATCAGTAACCAGTTTGTGATGTAGCCAACTTGGGATGCCCTGCATGATTGGTTTAAACATTGGGACTGAATAGAATCAGTTTGAGAGGATCTTATATTAGAAAGGTAATCACTTTCCAACCTTGATATCACTGGTCCGTTCTTTTAGCCTTGCATTCCAAGTGTCTGAAGTACCTTTTTATACTAAGCCACTTGATTGAGTATAGCCCAAATGATGGAAAAGTGACACTGTTGATGAAGCCAGCAAATGTCCATCTCTTTCAGGATGTCTGTCGTCTGACCACTAATTTCTGCTCTTTGCAAAAAATTTTTGTCGAAATGTCATTTACTTTGGTGGTAATTTTTTTTTTTTAATGTATGTGAAATTGGTTGTATGGAGCGGAGTGTTGGCCAGTCAAGAACACACACGTTCATAAAATGCATGTTGCGGAGATGAGGATGTTGAGATGGATGTGTGGGAACACTAGGAGCGACAAGATTAGGAATGAGGTTATCCGGGAGAAGGTGGGAGTGGCCTCTGTGGTGGACAAGTTGAGGGAAGCGAGACTGAGATGGTTTGGACATGTAAAAAGGCGGAGCGCAGACGCCCCAGTGAGGAGGTGCGAGGTAATGGTGGTAGAGGGTACGCGGAGGGGTAGAGGTAGGCCCAAGAAGTATTGGGAGGAGGTGATTAGACAAGACTTGGCTATGCTTCACATTACCGAGGACATGACTCTAGATAGGAAGGAGTGGAGGTCGCGTATTAAGGTTGAAGGTTAGTAGGGTTAGCGTGTTGTCTTCCCTTGCAAAGGTATGGGTTGTTAGCGTTTGGAGTAGACCTAGCCTTTTGTTGTTTACTGCGTTTCACGCATCGCATTACTTTCTTGTTGTTATTGTCTCATCTGTTGATTATACGCTCTCTTTTGTATTGGCTGTTATGTTTTATATATATCTCTCCTGTCATTTAGATTTGTTGTTCTTGAGCTGAGGGTCTCCCGGAAACAGCCTCTCTACCTCCACGAGGTAGTGGCAAGGTCTGCGTACACTTTACCCTCCCCAGACCCCACCTAGTGGGATTTCACTGGGCATGTTGTTGTTGTAATGTATGTGAAATTGGTATGCTTTATTTTCTGTGCACTACTTTTCCCTGAGCTCCTTGACTTTGTATAGTGTTGAAGACATTCTTCAAGTTCTCATTGTCTTCATAGTGGAGTCTTTGGAGTTGAATTTTGCACTTCTATTTCCAGAGAGGCACACACTTCTTCGTGTCTTGCCTGTCCTTGTTGTCCTAGCAGCATCATCAGAGAAAGATAGTGAATCATTGTACAAAAGGGTGAAAATCAACAGACTTATTAACATATTTAAGGTGTGTTCATTTGTTCTTATGCAAATTTTGAACTGAACCTTTGAATGCAGTAATCTTTTTTTCATGTTCTGTTTCTTATTATGATATGAACTTTAATACTGTGTACTTTCGAGACTCTGGAAAATGTCCTTATTACCTTTCTTTTTATGCAGAATGATCCTGTGGTACCTGCTTTCCCAGATCTTCACCTGTCTCCTGCTGCGATTTTAAAAGAGTTATCGACATACTTCCCTAAATTTTCTGCACAAACTCGGCTTCTCACTCTTCCAGCACCTCATGAGCTGCCACTGCGTGAGGCACAAGAATATCCTTTCTTTGTTTCTATCCTTTAATCTTCCTTTGTTGCTTTTGATGCTGTACAATTTTGGGTTCATGCGAGTCAGATTTGATTTTCCGAAATTTACTTCTTATTACTGCCAATAACTTTTTTTTTTTTTTTTGATAACCGAGAAATCCGTCTGTGACCCGCCCTTTGGACCAATCACAGCCTTCTAAAACTCGGTGGATAATGGGCCCGCCCCCTCTACCCTTCTCCACTTAAATACCGGGCTTCGCTTTGCATGGTGTGGGGCTTGAACCTGCGACCTAAGCCACAAATCCTCCACCTTTTGCCACTTGAGCTAGGCCTTGGGGGCTTATTACTGCCAATAACTTTTTTTTTTTTTTTTTTTTTGATAACCGAGAGATCCGTCTGTGACCCGCCCTTTGGACCAATCACAGCCTTCTAAAACTCGGTGGATAATGGGCCCGCCCCTCTACCCTTCTCCACTTAAATACCGGGCTTCGCTTTGCATGGTGTGGGGCTTGAACCTGCGACCTAAGCCACAAATCCTCCACCTTTTGCCACTTGAGCTAGGCCTTGGGGGCTTATTACTGCCAATAACTTGTAAACAGAATAGAACTTCAGTGCCGGCGCCTTTTCTTTTCGTATTCCAATTGAATGTTATCAACCGAAAATCTATTGTTTTTTTTTGTAGGGAATAGTTAAAGAAAGCTTGCAATGTCCGGTTCCTTCTTTTTATTTTAACTGTTCCCTCTCTTCTTCACCAACAGTCCCAAATTATTACTTTTATCTATAAACTTTATCACTTTGAAGCTCGACAGCCAAGGAGAATATTATTCTAATTTAAAGTGGTTCACGTTGTACTCATTTCTTGAAGCTCCCCCCTCCTCTCTCTCTCTTTTAATAGTAGTAGTTTGAATCCATGAAACTTATTTGGCCTTCGAATGAAGATATTGTTTGTTTTTTAGTACTTAATTACAGTAAGCCGTTTTAAAAATGTTTTTACTAGAGAAGCAAGTTACAATTTTTTTGTAAAATATTAGGCAGTTCACATTCAGTTTTATTCTGAGTTTAAATGCTTTAGTTCATCGAAAAGTACATGTTATATATAGGAGTTTAGTTTGTATTTTTAGCTTATAAGTTATATCTCAATATACTTTCTATGTGTTTCTTCTGTTTTGTCTAATAAACTTCTTGTACTATCCACTAGAAAATTTTCAAGGGATTACTTTAAGTAATTTCTTAACGCCATTTACTTATCAGAGGCAATATCTGATTGTCAACCATATTGGGGCGATCCGTGCTGAGCATGATGACTTCACTGTTCGTTTTGCTTCAGCCATGAGTCAGGTTACTCTCTCTCTCTCTCTATATATATATATATATATAAAGCCGTCTCATTTACAAAATCATAGAACCACACACACATTGAAAACAAGAGAGGATAACCTCTTAGGATACCTGCTTTTCTCTTTTGATTAATTGAATTCTCTTAGTTATCAAAAGTTATATTATTATATTTGAGACTTCGTTGATAGTTTTGTGTAATGGTTATACCCAAAAGTTTATTGTGGTTATTCTGAAATTCTAATAATTAGCATGTCAAAACTTCATTATCACTTGTTTTAACTATTTCGAGTTAGAAATTAAAACTATTATATGTAATATACTCCCTCCATTTCAATTTGTTTGTCTAGTTTTGACTTAGCACGATATTTAAGAAAGTACGGAAGATTTTTGAATCTTATAGTTCTAAACTAAAGATATGTAGAATATGCCAAAATGTCCTTTAATCTTGTGGTCAACATGCCATGTGGAAAGTTGAAATTAAAAAGTTGCCAAAAAAGGAAAGAGACATTCTTTTTGAAATGGACTAAAAAGGAAAGTAAGACGAACAAACTGGTTTGGAGGGAGTAACTAAGAAGAGTTTGAATATTATGGTAATTATATATTTTACATATATGACTTTTGATGCTACAAAATAGATTCAGAATTAAAATCTCAAAAAGAAATACTCATACCTATGTACCACTCAGTTATCTGCATAAGAAAAATAAGCTCAACATAACTTATGCAGCGTCTGGTTGGCAGTATTTAACTGTTCATTATTAATTATCCTCATGACTTGTGCGAGAATTATGCGGGATTGAATATGGAATAAGAAAGCAGGTGTCACCAATGCACGGATGAGTATTTACAGGAAAAATTCCCTTTATATTAGATAGTCCCTGCATAGAATAACCCTCAGGGGTTGGCCTGCTGGCAATTGACTTGAGCCTTGGGGTTTGCTCCCTTTCAAGGTCTCAAGTTCGAAACCCACTGGGTGCAAACAATTTCTGAGGGCCATCGGACTGGGTAAAACCTGAATTAACCGTGGTGCACTTGCGGGAAACTCCTTGCCGAGGGCCTGTGCACCCCCGGGATTAGTCGGGGCTCAAAGAGACTCGGACACCCGGTGCAAATCAAAAAAAAAAGAAATACTAATTAAGATTCACACTTCACAGTTAAAAAAACTTAACAAGATTGATTTCAAATCTCTCTATAATAGCATCCCATATTTCTTGGCTACGATTCCCAAGCTATGAACTAGATCCAAAACCAACATCCATTTTCCGGTGGTCCTTCTGAATAGTTCTGATCACCGGGAACCTCCACCCTCACCTTCCCTCCCTCATTTCCTTAAACCCTCCTCCGATCAATGGAGGACTGTATTTACTTTGCAGTAGGTTTTAAATCCTTCGATCTCGAGAGAATCAAAGGAGCGACGGGCGACTGGTACGAATGGACTGAGAGGAGTAAAAGAAACATCACTAGAACTTCTTTCAACAAGGAATCAATGATTTGGATCACTAAGGTCATGTGGGAAGCTTCAAAGACGAAAGGAAATGTGGTGAAGAGATGGAGGAGACTAGAACCTCTATCAGAAATATATTGTGCTAGGAATTTCAACAAATATGGCAGATATCTGAGTTTGATAAACATAAGGGGAAGAAGGAGGTCCGTTATCATAATCCTGGAGTTGACTGTCACGCCCCGAGCTACCCCCGAGACGCGGACACGGGACCTAGAACCACAAGTGATCCCAAGCTAACCCTGCTGGCATAATCTTAGCATACTATAATTAACATGAATAAAAATAACTGATGCGGAAACTAAAATCATAAATAAAGAAAAGATGGGGAATACCCATATACTATAATTGAGAGAGTTTAATACAAAAGATATTAACTCATACTAGACTGAAACTAACTATGTCTGAAAGTAAGCCTCTAAACTGACTAGAAATGTTGGGACATGCCCCAACTAGATCTAGCAAAACTGAAACTAAAAACTGAAAGCAGTAAGGATATCATGTCTCTGGTCCTCGGAGGATGAGGACTCACCACTACTAATCTGCTGAGCTGAAAATCGGAAAACGATCTAAGTGCAATCTGGATGCTGAGAGTCTGAACCTACATCACAAGAAGATGTAGCGCAAAAATATGCGTCAGTACTGAAAAGTACCGAGCATGAGGATTGAGTATCGCTGAAATACATATATAACTGGCCAAGCAAAAAGCAATGACATATATATGGATATGATAGAATGCCGAAAAATACTAAACATGGTCAATGCAAATGGAGTCTGATTGATATGTGGGAGCTACTAATCACCGATAATAAAACCACACGAGCTGAATGTGGAGTCCGATGTATACGCCCCATCGAGAGGACCCAATATACCCTGCCAGAGGTATAAAGGCATGCTGGCATGATCACTAATCTGTTGCCCATGGAAGGGACTTACAACCTACTTGGCTAGTAGTTCTGGGACTATTTGGGTACGCTAAACCCCAGTCCAACTCGGTATTATGCTAGTCCCAATGAATTTAGTAGTAAATTGATTATGACTGATTTTCTGTAATTGTTATGGATAGCTCAAAACTAGACATGCAAACTGAACGCAACAATTTAAACTGACATTGATGCATAATACTGAAGCATATATAACTGATTTCTGATAATGTCTGACCTAACACATGTAATTCAAGAACTAAAGAAATACATAGCTAGGGTTCTGACATTCATACGATAATCTGAAGAAGACGGGACATGCTGATTTGGAACATTAAAACATAGCTAAAACGTGACATGCTGTTTGGACGTTAGAACATATAGTTAAAAACGTGATTTCTAAATCGGAATGTTTTGAAAACAGTCTCTTTATGAAAATTGGCTGTAACTTTAGAAACTACCAGGGTTCATTCATAATTATTGAAAAACGATCAATATTTGGATCATTCTAATATTTAAAACCCAAAATCAAGAAACGTTCAAGAACCCTAATTTCGTTCATAGCATGGAATCAAGAATCGTCTAAATTCTAGGGATCTAACGGCGAAAGGGACCCATTAATGAAATCCAACATACCTGGTGACAAAATTTCCACGAAAAACTATCAACTAGGGCTAGACTTGACTTTTCCGGCGACTTTCTAGCGTTTTCCGGAGGCGGCTAGGGTTTAGCTAGGGTTTCGGCCGCCCCTCTCTCTACTCTCTTCTTTTCTTTTGTTTTAGTTAATTAAATGACTTAGGTAAGTTCTAGTTAGGTTTCTAGGATTTTAAATGACCAACTAAAACCCTTTTAATTTAGGAATTAAAAGAAGAGTGGGAAAAGACAAAAACACCCTGGACTTAAAAGCGGTCCAAATCCTGAATCGGATTGGGCACCTGCCAAATCTGAAAATTCTGCAAATTTTTCCTTCACGAATCTGGGGTGTTACATTGACTTTGAACTCAGGATGGGAAAACATAGCAGACAAAATTGGGAGATTCCTTTCTAGTCATAGAAAGGAGGTGGAAAGTACAAAGCAGAGGTTGGTAGACAACAATTTCCCCTTTGCAGAGGCAGTGAGGAGCATTAAATGGACTAATAGAAAAGGAGACGGAGTTGATGCCCAAGCAACATTAATGATGGAAGAGGGAATCATTTGCATTAATGAATCTTCAAACACCCACAATGAAGTTCTGCAGAGAAGTCTAGTTGGAGATTTTTGAAGGAAGGAATAATGTACTGCCAAACCTAGCACAAGTGAGAAGCTGGGCAAACAAGTTTTGGAGACAAAGCCATGGACTAAACATTTATGAGGTGGGAGTTGGAAAATTCTTGTTTGAGTTTGCGATGAAAACCACGGCAGAACAGGTGATTGCAGGTGAGTGTATTTGGAACAACTCGAGGGTCCAGTTAGAGTGGTGGTCCCCAACTTTAGCGGCCACAAATATGGAGAATAAACCAACATCGACCTGGACCAAGATTGTAGGCCTTTCCCCTTCCCCTACATCTCTGGTCAGAGACTGTTTTCAAGGCCATCGAAGATCTCTGTGGAGGTTGGATTGAAACTGAAGAAGAGACACAACTACAGAATCATCTCAAATGGGCTCGAATCAAAGTGTAAGGCGATGGGTCAAGGATCCCGAAGGAGGTGACCATTATCAATGCTGGAATCTCCTTTTCCATGCAACTGTGGACAGAAATTCCGGTGAGGTTCACCATAATAGAAGAGGGAAAGGTGAAACCCATTACCCAGCAGATATCGAGGATTTATCTAGAGGATAAAAGAGGGGAAAGTTGTGGTGTCAGCAGGAGACCACTTGGGGAGTGGACCCACTTTGAATTCAAAAAAATTGGGCCAGGAACCCTCAAACGCAGCCCCAATAGCCCAAAAGCATCTAGACATTACAAATCCTCCTGTGAGTTCTAAAAGGCCCATGAGCTTTAACGAACCCTCACGTGACAATCACATGGCAGAAAAAAAAGGCCTCACAGAAATAAAGACCTGGCAACTAAATTTCTGGAAGCCTTCAGGAACTGGGAAACAAACACGGCGAAAGAATCAAGCATGGTGACGCAAGTCGATGGGGGAGAGAGAATTTTATCTTGCATCCAAACAGAACCAGTGATGATGGGTACACAACAAACTTCTCATGAAAAAGAAGGAGGGGAGACAAACGATACACAATCAACAGAACAAGACATGCAACTTCAACATATTCACGATGCAGAACCAGTCAACATTCAGCTTCCAAATTCCCAAGAAGACTGCGAAACATAAGCTTCAAATTGGGTGAATTCTCATATCCTAGATTTGAGCAACACATATGGGGTGGCTTTCGAAGGATTCGAAAGAGAAACCATAGCTTTGTTGATGAAGATTAATGAGAGGAAAACACAGCTTGATAAGAAGGGGAAGGGCAAGGCAGTCACTACTCCAAAAAGCAGTGGTATTGGAAAGAATGAACTGAAAAACTTAAAATCCAGCCTAAATGAAGAGGTGGAAGGAAGCAGAAGTAGAGGGAGGAATCTAAGTCTAA